ACCGCTAGCTAATCCCTTTGCAGGAGATGGAACATTGCATCCCGATTTACACCTTATCTTTGTGGATGAAGTTTGTGGATTATTTAAGCTTGCATGTATTCCCGATGATCTTGTCAAAAGGAAGGTCTTCCCTTTATCTTTGAAGGGAGATGCATTGACATGGTATAGGCTATGTGATGATACGGGATCTTGGAATTTTAAAAGATTAAAGTTGGAATTTCACCAGAAGTTCTATCCTATGCATCTTGTTCATCGTGATCGTAATTACATATATAATTTCTGGCCTCACAAAGGAGAAAGCATTGCTCAAGCTTGGGGGAGGCTTAAGTCAATGTTATATTCATGCCCCAATCATAAGCTTTCAAGAGAAGTCATTATTCAAAAAAATTATGCTCGGCTTTCTCCCAATGATCGCAACATTCTCGATACTTCCTGTGCTGGTTCTTATATGCTGAAGACTATTGAATTCAAGTGGGACTTATTGGAAAGAATTAAATGCAACTCTGAAGATTGGGGTTCCGACAATGGTAAGGAGTCAAGTATAACACCTAAGTTTTATTTTGTTAAATCTTTTATGGATACGGATGCTTTTCGTGGATTTAGCGCTAAATATGGACTTGACTCTGAGATAGTAGCTACTTTTTGTGAATCTTTTGCTACCTACGTTGATCTCCCTATGGAGAAGTGGTTTAAATATAATCCTCCCATTGAAGTAAAAGTAGTTGCACCTGTTATAGTTGAAGAAAAGACTATCACTTATAATGATCCTATTGTTCATACTACTTATGTTGAGAAACCTCCTTTTCCTGTTAGGATAAAGGATCATGCTAAAACTTCTACTATTTTTCGTAAGAGTAATACTAGAACTTATACACCTCCTGAGAAAATCAAAGTTGAACCTAGTATTGCTATGGTTAAAGATCTCTTGGATGATAATTAAATGGGCATGTTATTTATTTCGGTGGTGAGACTGCTAATATTGCTAGACCAGATGCTAAGATACATAGACCTGTGGTAGGCATGCATGTTATTTCTGTTAAAATAGGAGATCATTGTTACCATGGATTATGTGATATGGGTGCTAGTGCTAGTGCAATACCCTATGACTTATATAAAGAAATTATGCATGATATTGCACCCGCTTAATTAGGAGATATTGATGTTACCATTAAGCTTGCCAACAGGGACACCATTAAACTAGTTGGGATTGTTAGATACGTCGAAGTCTTGTGTGGGAAGGTTAAATATCCTGCTGATTTTTTTGTTCTTTGTTCCCCACAAGATGATTTTTGTCCCATTATATTTGGTAGACCCTTCTTGAATACTGGTAATGCTAGGATTGATTGTGTAGCGACCCAACCTCAGACGGTCAAGCCTCTGTGTTTCTGTGCCATCCCTGGATCAGTATGCTGGCACACACAGTACATCAATGTATATATCAAAGTGCAATCACATGTATAAATAATGTAAAACTGATATATACCTCATAAGTCACAGCGGAAACAAATAGTCGGGTATGGAGTCCCATCAGCGCCATCGGCAGGTTGAGTGTAGACCGTAACCCTGTACCGTACTCTCACTCGTCGGAAGAAAGTATCTGCAACATGATACGTTGCAGCCGTGTAGGTCAGTACATTGAATGTACCGGCAAGATCACAACATGAGAAAACAGATGATAAAACTATACTATATGCAATATGGCTTTGTGGCTCTATGTCTGAGTTTTGTTTTGCATAAAAGCTGGTTTTATTTTCCCTACATCAAAGGAATAACTGGAGTCTGCACTATGGAGTTTTCTATCATGACATGGTTCCGCCAACCGATGTCTCATAGCTCAAATCATCATAAGTTGGCCACAATTAAGTTATCAGTCCGGTGTTGAGAGTTCCGAGATAGATCCAAGTCCAGAGGCTCAAAATGTCCGTAACCGGGGACACGGCTAATCGATTAGGTTTAAACCCTCTGCAGAGGTTTGTACACTTTACCCGCAAGATTCGATCCCTCTCTTTACATTCTCGCACTTCAGGGTGTTTGAGAACAAGATGACCGAAACATGGTCTTCCGAAGAGTTCCCCTGACCACTGTCCGGTGCTCATCCAATCCTACAGTAGTTCTACATCTTCTAGCATCGTCCCAGCCAGACTCACAACTAAGGTCAACCAAGCCAGAGCCCATAGTGACTTGCGGTTGCACAGGTAAGCTTCCGGTCATGAAGTATTCTTCCGTCTCTTTGAGCCTGGGTGAAGCTTTCCGCAAGATGTCATGGTGCTTCTCCATGCATCCCTGCCATCCACTGGTTGCTCCAGGGTGCCCGTCAACCGTCCTTCACCCAGTAGTGTGTATTGAGTTCTTGTCTCGAGTCTTGAGGTCTTGAGGCCTTGAAGATGCAGTCCTTGCAAATGCCATCATGGAGTTGTCGTCATTGACGTAGAGTCCTCCTTCTTCATACCACTCTTGTGCACTCATACCAAACCTCGTCTACTATAGCGTAGCATTAAAATAAATATCATCCTGGGCTTGGTAACAGGGTGATGGGTTCCTACCTCATGCATACTAGTCAACTACAAGAATTCAATATCACTACTGGAGGATTGTTGCAAAGATGCCACTAAATGCAATGAAAACATAGGTATGAAAAGCATGGTCAAAGTGAACTTGCCTGGTACGTTGATGAAGATAACAACACTGTCAGAAAATGACTTGGTAGAACTATTTGTCACTCCGTTGAAAATCTATATAGTCAAACATAGAATTCATATAAGCAAACATACTAGCAAGCAATTCTAACACTCATAATAAAACCAACAAATAAAATGCAAATCAGCAAAGGACACCAAATAAAAACAAAGGAAAACTACACTACAAAACTACTAAAGAAAACTCTAAGACATAACACAAAATAGTTTTATCCTAAGTAAAACTTAACAACAAATAAAACACTAAACTAATAATTTAACAGAAAATAAAAAGTAAAACAACTAAGTTAACAGAAACTATTTTTTTTCATAAAATTTTATTAGCAAGAAGAAACAAATAAAAAGCTTTTATAAAACTGTACCTATGACCTATACAAGTTTCCATACGAAACTAACAAAATAAAATTTTAAAATAGGAATAAAATTGTCTACAGTTAAATAACAGAAAAAAACTAAATTTGTCAAAAGAGACAAAAAAAATTAAAACTATAAGGAAAAGGTTAAAACAAAAGTAAAACTAAAACAGTACTATTTTGACTAAAACTATAATTTAAAATAAACTAAAAATAAATCACTATATGCACTGGATAGATAAAACAATAACAAAACTGTAGCAAAAGGAATCAATCAAAAAGCTATTTTAGAATAAAAGTTATTAGCAATCTAGTGTTTGTAACAAATCTGTTTTAAATCGAAATTTAAAAATTTCAAAAGTATTTTTCATTGGTTTCTCTGGATAGATGGGATTTTTCTGAAACTACAGAAAAAAGAATCACTCAATTTGTATTAAAACCTTAAAAGATATAGAATATCTAAGATTGAAACTTTTCTGTTTAAAAAAAACAAAAACAACAATAAGAAAAACAAACAACGTGGCCTAAGACAGATATTATTGTGGATTCCCTCTCCTTGTGGGTTGGACTCCTTTTTACATGGACAGACAGGAAAGTGGAATATGAGGAATTAGCTGGAACAAACTCACCTTAGCTTTGAACGACTATATCCCCTCTTCTATCTACATATGGATATATATGGTCTTTAATAAAGGAAGATGATTTTAGCCGAGGACTAACACAGCTTCCATTTTGCAGCACATCTCTCAGTGGGAATAGCATCATCCATGACTTCAGGTATAGCTAGCTATAGGTAAGCACAAAAGGTAATGACGAGAGGGCCGTCCTATGTACCCTGAATGAGAAACTATGTGATAGAAGCCCGCTTTCCCTCTCTTCTATCCCACCTAACCACTTAGGGTATCAGTGGCCTCGTGATCTCCATGAACAGAGATCACTACACAAAAACAACTATATGAAAAACTTGCTTGCTTTTTCGAATCTCGAAATAACAGAACATATAGAAAGTATTTTTGTGATGAGCCCATTCTCTTCGGGGAACCTATAGAAAGATTATCAGACGGCTTTCATGATATTATGCTTCCTTGCCCGTGTGGAACATGTGTGAGCATTATGTTTTTCCAACAAGTGATCCGATTGGAAGAGGTGTTATATGAGGACTTCGAGATCAAATAGAGAATCTGTCTCTCCATTCCTCGTGAGCCACTTATTTCTCCGAAATCAGATATCAGAGTGATTTTCCTCCTTTTTCCCAAATAGTCGACGGTCTTACACCATTGGGATACTTCGGATAAACTGGAGTATATATATGAGAGACCGGTGCTAAAATCTTTTCT